ATTGCTTTGATCATTTCTTAGCATTTTTGTTTGATTTAACAAAAATAAGTCCTGCTGAACTTGACTGCTTAAAGATAATAAAGGGCAGATTTTCTGAAAGAATCAGTCACTAGGGGTCTCTTGAACTAATGGGTTATAGTTCACGTCAGAAATTGTAGAGTTGGAGACCAGGGAAAGATTGGTAATTAAAGTTGCAAACTGGCTGGGTGTGGTGACTCACACCTGTAAATCCCAGCACTTTGGGAGGCCGAGGCAGGTGGATTACCTGAGGTCAGGAGTTGGAGACCAGCCTGACCAACATGGTGAAACCTCATCTCTACTAAAAATACAAAAATTAGCTGGATGTGGTGGCACATGCCTGTAATCCCACCTACTCGGTAGACTGGGGCAGGAGAATTGCTTGAACCTGGGAGGCAGAGGTTGCCGAGATCGCGCCACTACGCTCAAGCCTGGGCAATAGAGTGAGATTCCGTCTCAAAAAAAAAAAAAAAAAAAAAAAAGTGCAAACTGTCTTAATATTGTTTTTAATAGAGCCCTACACAGGCTGATAGAGTGCAACTGGTCAATTATAGAATAATGGTCTTTAAAGCCTGTTAGCTTCTCAGTAGAAAAAATGGCTTGAGAAAATCAGATTTAAAATTTGCTAAGCAGAAGTAGAAGAAAGCCTTTTTACAAAGGTATAGGTTTATTCTGAGTTCATCCATTTTAGTCTTACCAGCTGTATTAGTCCATTCTCACACTGCTATAAAGAACTACCTGACAGGCCAGGCATGGTGACCCGTGCCTGTAATCCCAGCACTTTAGGAGGCTGAGGCTGGCAGATCACTTGAGGTCAGGAGTTCGAGACCAACCTGGCCAACATGGTGAAACGTCGTCTCTACTAAAAATACAAAAATCAGCTGGACGTCATGGCAGGGCCTGTAGTCCCAGCTACTCAGGAGGTTGAGGCAGGAGAATCACTTGAACCCGGGAGGTAAGGTTGCAGTGAGCCAAGATGATGCCACTGCACTCTGGCCTGGGTGACAGAGCAAGACTCCATCTCAAAAAACAAAAAACAAAAAAACTACCTGACTGGGTAATTTATGAAGAAAAGATGTTTAATTGATTCACAGTTCTACAGGCTGTACAGGAAGCATGGCTGGAGGGTCTCAGGAAACTTACAGTCATGGAAGGTGGAGGGTGAAGGGGAAGCAAGCACCTCTTACCATGGCGGAGCAGGAGAGAGCGAGAATGACGGGGGAAGCCCCACCCACTTTTAAACAACCAGATCTTATGAGAACCACTATCACAAGAACAGCAAGGGGAACATCCACCCCGTGATTTAATCACCTCCCGCCTGTTCTTTCTCCCAAAATTGGGAATTACAATTTGACATGAGATTTCGGTGGGGACACAGGGCCAAACCATATCAGCAGGTTTATTACTAGAGTAAGCAAACGGCCAGGATTTGGAACACACCAGTCACATTGAACTTTGGACAGTTGGAGGTCCAGGAAGTTTTCACTGTGGCTTGATGTAATTTGTGTGTCATAACACCAAGGCTAGAAGGTGTGGGCTTTGTGGTTAGACAGGCCTGGATTGGGGTCATGGCTTTGCCGCTGAACGAGCTGTGAATACTCGAGCAAGTGGCCAGTCTTTCTCAGCCCCAGTTTCATTGTTTATAAAATCAGGGTAATAGCATCTAGTAAGAGAGGTGCTGGGAGGAGGTTTAAATAAGAGAGTACACGTAAAATACTTAGCACTATGTTTAATACATTGTTGGTGGCTATTGTTAGTGTACTTTAAAATTAATTCTACATGTATAAATAGGTCCTTTTCCAGAATCTGATCAGAGTAAGGGCCTAGGAAGACTGAGAAAACAGCCTACAGGTCCTGAAATGGAGAAAAGTAAGCCTCATCGAAGACTAAAGTTGGATCTAGAATTATCTGACCTCATTATTGATTTTATAGCCAAGGAGGCAAAAAACATTTACATAAGGTCTTAATTCAGTAAGATCCAGCCCCTACTTTAATATTAGCTTCCATGTGTCATGTGATTAACCTGTCCCAGTTTTTTTTTTTTTTTTTGCTGTCCTTTCAAGCCAAGAATTGGAAGGCCAGGCCCCAAGTTTGCCAAACATGGGCCTAATGGAGAAAGCCAACTTTAAAATATGTAATCTCTTTAATAATCTTAACAAACATAAAAAATAACTTAAAATCTAAAAATTTAAGAGGAATAAAAGGAAACACAAAGATACATGAAAAATTAGAAACTGAAATAATTTTATTTTAAAAGAAAAATTTGAGTTGAACCTTTAATGAAAGATAAAAATAGAAAATGTTTTTTTAAAAAGGTAAGAAAAATGTAAGGCAAGAACTCAGAAATGAAACAGTGCAAGTTAGAACAGATTACTAAAATGGCACAGCTATATAAAGCTATAGAAGTTTTAAAAACAAGGTAAAAATATGTCCTCTGTAAAGATAAAGAATACATTCATCTGAAAGTAGGCGAGCAGCATAATTTTGAAGCAGGCCCTCTAAACTGGAGCAATTTACCCAGGCTGGTCTTCTGCACAGGCTGCTGAGGGCGGGGCCACCAGTTAATGTTATTGACACCCTTTGTGCAGTGCTCCTGAGCCACTCATCAAGGTCCTTAACCTGTAGTATTTGGGTTGTTCCTCTTGGCAGCTCCAGGCTATGGGATGTTGTTATCCCTGCTTTACAGGGGAGGAGACAAAAGTTTGGATGCGCGCCTTGCCCCACTAGCAGGCCGTGGAGCTGGAGCCCAGAGTGATGACAAAACCTGTGCTCTTCTTCTCATTTTCTGCCTTCCAGGAAGCATCATTATCATCGTCAACTATAAAGACAACAGGCCAGGGCAGTGGCTCACGCCTGTAATCCCAGCGCTTTGGAGGCTGAGGCAGATGGATCACTTGAAGCCAGGAGTTCGAGACCAGCCTGGCCAACATGGTGAAACCTCAGTTCTACTAAAAAAATACAAAAATTAACCAGGCATGGTTGCAGTTGCCCGTAATCCCGGCTGCTTGGGAGTCTAAGGCAGGAGACTCGCTTGAACCCAGGAGGTGGAGATTGCAGTGAGCCGAGTTGACACCACTGCACTCCAGCCCAGGCGACAGAGCGAGACTCTGTCTCAAAAAAAAAAAAAAAAAAAAAAAAACAAAAATGAAAAACAAAGACAGCAGAATTCCTCTCCTCCTCTTTTTCCCCCCTCACCTCATCAAGGTTACCTATCCATTGGGAGAGAATGCCACTCTTAACAAATGTCCCAGCAATGGGAAATGTGCAGTAGGTATCAGTGTATCCTAATAATGCACTGTTATATTTTTTATATTTTCTTCTCCCTTTTTTTTTTTTTTTTTGGTGAGAGTTTATCCAGTTATTCAGATATTCAGTTTGGTCTCCTAAACATTTCTTTGATGTGGCCCCTTTCCTCCATCTTTGCTGCTAGTACCAAGTTCAGGTCACCATCCTGTCCTTCCTTGTGTTAGTTTCCTGTGGCTATTGTAATAAATAACCACATACTTGGGTGACTTAAAACAACAGAAATGTATCCTTCACAGTTCTGGAGGCCAGCGTCTGAAATCAAGGTGTGGGCAGGGCTGCGCCCAGTCCTGAGCCTCTAGGGGAGAATCTGTTCCTTGCTTCTTTCAGCTTCCAGTGGCCACGGCATTGCTCAGCTTGTGGCTGCATCACACCAGCCTCTGCCTCTGTGGTCACACTGCCCCTTCCCTGTGCATGTCAACCTACCTCTTCTGATAAGGGTACGTGTGATTGCCTGCCTTTTCTTATAAGAATACATGTGATTGCATTTAGGGCCCACCCAATAATCCAGGATAACCTCCCGTCTCAAGATCTTCAATTTACTCACATTTGCAAAGACCCCTTATTGCCATGTCAGACAACATTTACAGGTTCCAGGGATTGGGATGTGGATGTCGTTTAAGGGGCCATTTCTCTTTGTTTTTTTTTTTTGGAGACAGAATCTCGCTCTGTCACCTATGCTGCAGTGCAGTGGTGCGATCTCGGCTCACTACAAGCTCTGCCTCCCGGGTTTATACCATTCTCCTGCCTCCGCCTCCCAAGTAGCTGGGACTACAGGTGCTCACCACCACGCCCGGCTAAGTTTTTTTGTATTTTTAGTAGAGACAGGTTTTCACCATGTTAGCCAGGATGGTCTCAATCTCCTGACCTCATGATCCAGCCTCCCAAAGTGCTAGGATTACAGGCGTGAGCCACCACACCCAGCCTTAGGGGGCCATTTTTCAACCTGTGGTACCCCTAGACTTTTGCAGCCCTCTCTGCCTTCTGTCTTCCACCCTGCAGCCTGAGTTCCTCTCAACATGCAGATCATGTCATAGTCAGCTTTAAAACTCTTGACTGGTTCCTGGGGCCCTCAGATCCATCCTGTTTCCCAGTGTGGCCTGTGAATACCTCTCTCCCTTCCTGTCCCTCACTCTCCATTCCTCATTATGTTCCACCTATGCCCCACTTCTTCCCGTTCCCCGGAGAAGCTGGATCCGCTCTCTCCTCTGGGTCTTGGTGCGCTCCTCTGCCTGGGCCATTTTGCTACCTCCTCGCTTTTTGTTTGGCCCATGCCAGTTCATCATTCAGTTCTCATTCCTTCACTTCACTTCCTCCAAGAAAGCTTGCTCTGCGTGTGCTGGGCGGGGTGCACTCTTGCCCCATCCGAGCTCTCGCCTGAGGGGGCATGTTTACCTTGTCATGGGATGTGTTCCCTGCACGGGACACAGTGCCTGACACACAGGAGACTTAAATGTTTGTTGATGAGAATGCCCGTAGGAGGGGAACTTCTACATCCACCTACCGAGAGAAATACTGTAGCAAAGAGCGCTAATCCACGTCGAAGTCTTTGCTGGAGTGATTATATATGTGGATGCCAAAAGTTTCCACAGCCTTTATTTTTAAGCAAAAAATCAAGAACCATGTGATTGTGAGATCGAAGAAAATATTTTCATGTTTTTTAATCTGTTTTCTTTCAGACCATTCCTGTGTTTCTCACTTTGTGTAATGTAGCTGAAGTTATCATCTGTGGGTACCAGAAGTGTTTTCAGAAAGAGGTAAACGATCATGCAAAATGCTAGTGTTACTTCCTTGTTTTAAATTTCAAAGAAGCACTCTTCTTTTTATGGCCCAAATTAGTGTCTGCCTTTTCCTGCCACCAATCTCCAGGCAAGATTGCCTGACAGTGGTCACTGATATCATGGGACACAGTTTTGACTTTGCTGCAATTCACTAGACATATGTGAGAATATTGTTGATGTGAACTGAACTCAGATCCAGGCCAGGCTGACCCAGACCCTTGGGAGACAAAGAGGAGTTTGCTGTTGGCCTGGTGGGGAAGCATTCCCACCCCCAGCCAATCTAGCACCACAGGACAAGGCATAGCAGAGTTTTACACAGGGTGCCGGGACACTAGCCCACCCCAGGGAAATTTGCTTTTCTCTCCAGTACCAGCTGTACCTCATATCAGCTAGAACAAGCTCCTTCACCTTCCAGGCCTCCATCTGTGCAAGGTGGTAATAATGACACCAACTTGTTCAAGGCTTGTTCGAAGAACACAGCAACTATCATTGTTAAGTAACTGCTTCCAGCCGTTTCCGGCATGCAGTGGGTGCTCTGCACATCGGCAACGATTACTAATGTTATTAGAGGTGGTTTTAATTTGGTCTTTCTTTTCGAAGTCGTTTTTGTTTTTTTTTTTTTTTTTTTTTTTCTTTTCTGGCATTTACTATTTGGTTTCATACCAATTTTTGGAACATTTTCATTTATTTTTATTTTTAGAGACAGAGTCTTGCTCTGTCACCCAGGCTGGAGTACAATGGTGCAGTAATAACTCCCTGCAGCCTCAAATTCCTGGGCTCAGGCGATCTTTCTCTCCCAGCCTCCTGAGCAGCTGGGACTACAGGCACGAGCCACTGCACCTGGCTACTTTAAAATTTTTATTTGTAGAGATGGGGTCTTGCTATGTTGTCCAGGCTTATTCTTGAACTCCTAGGCTCAAAGGATCCTCCTGCCTCAGCTTCCTAAAGCATTGGGATTACAGGTGTAAAACATCACACCCCGCCCAATTTTTGGAACTTTTAAACTATAGAGAGGCCAGCTGGCCACCTCAAGCTACATGCTTCTTACAGGTGTGCAGGAAAGGAGGCTGTGGCCACACCCGATCTCCCCCCATCATCCCGCCGCTCCTCGGAGGTGGCTCTGTCAATCATCTCTCCTGTCTCCTACACTGTGAGCCTCTCCCTCGCTGCTGGCTTATTTCCCTGAGCCCATAAACATGCTTGGTGTTATCAGCCCGCCAAGGAGAGGATGGGCTGTCCTTCCCATGTGACAATGAGAGACAGAAGACACTCACTTCACCCAGTCCTGGAAGGGTGTGTTTACAAAACCAACCCTTGCACAGGAAAATCTCAAGCTGCCTTGCCTGTGCACCTCCCAGTCTGCCTCATCCCTTCTCTCCCCTCCCATGCCACAGGCCTCAGACAGGGCCGGGCTTGGTATTGTCCATGCCCTCTTGTCCCTGTCACCTTCTGCTGCTCCTGCTTCTGCCCCCACTGTTCCCCTGAGACTGCCCTGGCTGAAGGCACTGGTGGCTTTGTCTGTGCGACTCATCGTGTCTGTTTCCACCATTCCCCCCACTTTCTCCTCCTGCCTCTCTGGGCCCCCTTGGCCTTCATGCCCCCTCCCTGCTTGGTTCCCTTCCTGTGTCTTGGGCTTTTCCTTCATCCATCTTTCTTTTCCTTTTCCTTTGTCTGCCTCTTCAGGGTCTCCCTCGGCTGCTTCTTAGGATCCTCTGTCCTCATGCCACACACTTTCTGGAAAATCTCATCCACACCCATTGTGCCAACCACCTTCTGCTCATAGAGGACCCCCAAGTCTCCATCTCCAGCCCAGACCTCCCTGCTGAGCTCAGCTCCCCTGTAGAGCCCTGGGACTTGCTGTCCTGGTTCTCCCCGGACATCTGAAATGAAACTGATCTGTTTCTCCAGACCTGCTTCTCACTTGGTAGCCCCAATCCCGGTCATCGTCGCCCAAGTCAGAAACCTAGGAGGCCCCTTGGAGTCCCCAGTATCCCCTCCCGGCCACATCCAGCCTATTACCAAGTCTGTGCCTCCTCCACCCTCATAGCTGCTGCCGCCCTAGTTCAGTCCTCATTTTCTTCTCCAGGCGGCCTGGCTGGGACTGAGGAAAAAAGAGCTTGATCCCCTGAGCGCTTGCACAGGGCCTGGAGTGAGCAGCCCTGGGCTGAGACAGTTGTCGTTTTCTATTTGGCAGTCCCACGGCCCAGGCTGGGAGGTGGAGGCCTCTCAGCACTTGGGCTGATCTCTCTGCAGCTCGAGGGTTCCCTGGATTGGCACCTTCCTCTGACATTTTACTTACAACACCATCGTGCAGTTTCCACAGTCCGTCAGTTCTAACATGCGCTGCTTTTCTTTCACATTTTAGTCGAATATCTACAGTGGGAAGGCTCTTACAATCAATGATGTGTCATGGTGTAGTTTTTTTTTCTTTCTCCCTAATACATAAAATAAGTGGAAGTTTTACAATCTGTGGTGTCTTAGAGTCCATGAGGTACGGCATGATTTTCCCCTTGTCTCAGGCCTGCTTCCCTGAGTCTTCCAATGGCAGGAACCATGTGGTGGTTCTCCTCAGAGCTCTGGGCTCAGCCTCCAGAACTGGGACTGAGCTCAAGAGTCACTAAATGGTCACTGAAGTTCAGGGCCAGAACCTCCCTGAGAGTGGCTTAGCTCTGGGAACCTGACCTGTCCAAATTCGAAAAAGGCTTCATATTCTCCAAAAGGATACTTCTTTTTTTTTTGAGACGGAGTCTCACACTGTCACCGAGGCTGGAGTGCAGTGGCGTGATCTCGGCTCACTGCAACCTCTGCCGCCCGGGTTCAAGTGATTCTCCTGCCTCAGCCTCCTGAGTAGCTGGGATTACAGGCGCCTACCACCATGTCCAGCCAGTTTTGTGTATTTTTAGTAGAGACAGGGTTTCACCGCGTTAGCCAGGCTGGTCTCAAATTCCTGACCTTGTGATCCTCCCACCTCGGCCTCCCAAAGTGCTGGGATTACAGACGTGAACCACTGCGCCTGGCTGGGATGCTTTCTTATAAATTTAGAAATGAAGATTTACCTGGTCTAGGGACAAGATCGAGACATCTCCACAGGGTTTTGCTTCCTGATGGGCAGGTCAGAGCCTGTAGATGAGAGTGACTGTCGGACTGAGGGTTAGAAAGTCCTTCAGGGATGTTTCCATCTAGCAGGGGACCTCTTCCACTCTAGAGACGAGGGCAGATGTCTGGCTGAGAGGCCCTGTCCTTGGAAATAACTGAATGAACACCGTAAGATTTTGAATCTTCAACTCCATATGATCATTAACAGAAAACATCATTTCTTGTCAGGGCAAACTAGAAAAAAGTGAGTGGGTAACTTTTTGTTGTTGTTGTTATGAAAACAAACCTTTCTTTCCTTTGTAAATCTAAGAAGATTTAAGATGTTGTAGAAAATACAGAGGGAGGCCACCCAGTGGCTCATGCCTGTAATCCAAAAGCTTTGGAAGGCTGAGGCAGGAGGATCAGATGAGACCAGGAGTTCGAGGCTACAGCGAGCCATGATTGTGCCACCGCACCTCAGCCTGGGCAACAGTGAGACCTTGACTCTAAAAACCCAAAATTCAACTGTGTTTCTACTTCCCTAAGGAAACCACTCTATTCTTTCAGACTTTTTTCCTATGCACATATATAGATGTATTTACACGTATGGTAAGATACATCCTGTTTTTCCATTTAACAGTTGGTCAGGAAACCCTATTAAGGCTATTATTCCACATTGGTTGAGGCATGTGTTGGCCATTCCCTGTTTATAGAATTGTAGGTAGTATTTAGCAGTTTAGGGTTAAAATCTGCTCCATGATGCTGCTGCAATACATTCTTGATGAGACTTATATTTCTGATGATACAGCTAGGAGCCTTGATGAAATAATCCCTTATCATAAGGAACACACTTGCACACCACCTCACAGGCTGTTAAATGTTACAATGAGGGCTATTTTGTCTACCATGTGTGGATTTTACTAGAATCATTTTTGGAGAGTAAAAGTTGACCTCTTTGTGACTTCATTCCCAGATTATGAAAATAAACTATCTGGAGCTGTAGAGTTCATTTTCACCATCCACAACAACATCTTTGTGTATTCATGCACACATACACGTGCACACACACACAGTTTGACTCTAAGGCAATACGTGGCTCAAGGAATTAATGTACCTTGCAGACTTATTTATTACAGTTTAATATTAGAATACACCTGTTCGTTTATTCATTTGTTCAGCATTTATCAAGTACCTATGAAATGTCAAACATTTCGCTAGGCCTAAAGCTGCAGAGATGTAGGAGACGCTTTTCTTAGCCTTAAACCAGAGTTGAACGGAGGGGCTGGCCTGTACACTCGGGCTGGCACAGGGTATGGGTGGGCCAGCGGGTGAGTTCCGGTAAGTCGGCACGGGAGGAGCAAGGAAAGCTTCCCTAGTGGGTAGATTCGAGTCAGGCAGGGTGGGAAGGGACTTTCCAGTTTGATAAGAGAAAGGGCTCTCCTTGTCAGGCAGGCAGAGAGAGCATCAGGTGGTGGGGAAGGGTGCCAGCAGAGGTGACACCGCAGGACTGGCAGGCGGGCGGGGGGCAGCTTCCCTCATTCCTCAGTGCCTCAAGTGCCCTCCTCTGTAACATAGAACCGATGACTGTTACTTACCCCATGATTAAAGGATTCAGTACATGTAGAGCCCTTAGAACAGCACCTGGCAATGTGAGTAGCCCTCACAGTTCAGTTGGCTGACCCAGAGGAATGTCAGCTATTTTTTGTTAATTTTGGCAGCATGACTTCTTTTTTTTTTTTTTTTTTTTTTTGATACAGAGCCTCGCCCTGTCGCCCAGGCTAGAGTGTAGTGGTGTGATCTCTGCTCACTGCAATCTCCACCTCCCGGTTCAAGCAAATCTCCTGCCTCAGCCTCCCGAGTAGCTGAGATTACAGGCGTGTGCCACCACACCTGCTAATTTTTGGTATTTTTAGTAAAGACGGGGTTTCGCCGTGCTGTCCAGGCTGGTCTTGAACACCTAACCTTAGGCGATCCACCCTCCTCAGCCTCCCAAAGTGCTGGGATTACAGGCATGAACCACCACATCTGTTCCTTTGGCAGCATGGCTTTTGAGGAGTTAACCTATTCAGAACCCTGAGACCTCAGTAGGACTTGTTGCTAGGTTATTTTGGACTGAGGATCCTGAAAAGGAAAATGGCTGCCATGAATTCAGTCATATCCAGAGCCCTGGGAGATGGAGCTAAGTAATGAACATATTGCCTGTTTTTACTCTCTGTATCCCAGGATCTACGCTCTTTTACTCCCCTCCATGGAAGGGGCCTTTTCTTTTGGCCTGAAACGTTAGCCCTGGAAGTTACTGGGTGAGCATGCTAGTCACAGAAGTTGAAGAGCATCCCTTCAGTCCCTCCTCTCTATTTCTGCTCTTATACCAGGCTGTTGAGGTTTTGGTTATAGTTAGCTCAATTTTTGAGTAACTACTGGGCATGGTGGCTCACGCCCGTGATCCCAACACTTTGGGAGGCCAAGGCAGGCAGATCACTTGAGGCCGTGAGTTCGAGACCAGTCTGGCCAACATGGTGAAACCCCATCTCTACTAAAATTACAAAAATTAGCTGGGCGTGGTAGTGCACACCTGTAATCCCAGCTACTTGGGAGGCTGAGGCAAGAGAATTACTTGAACCCAGGAGGCAGAGGTTGCAGTGAGCCAAGATCGCACCACTACACTCCATCCTGGGCAACAGAGCAAGACTCCGTCTCAAAAAAAAAAAAAAAAAAAGAAAAGAAAAAAAAGAATTTTTGAGTAACACATTTACCGTACGGGGGGCAGTTATGCAGGTGTGAGCAGATCACCTTTGCCCTCCTCCTTTCGTTGGTTAAGGGCTAACTTCCCAGCAGGTGGCAGTACAGCACGGTTGGCCTCACGTCCTGGGCTCTGCAGAGGCAGGGTTGGGCGAAGACCAAGATTAGTGTCGAAAGCTGCAAAAATAGAATCTGTTCATTAAAACAGGGGAAACTTTATTAAAACACGTGAAACTTAAGGTAGCCTTTGTAGTAAGCCCCATGTTTCTCCTGTCAGCGCTTCACTTCTAAACAATGTTTATACTTCACACTGCCTGAACTGGCGTCAACAATTATGGTGTGTTCCCAGCTAGCAGAATAATCCTTCTGAAATGTTTAGAATTAATCAAAAGTTGAATTGTACCTGTTCGTTTCCTCTATCAAATATAGAAAAATCGGTGTTACCCTCTCCTAACGTGTTACTCTCTGCTAACTTGTGCAAATGCGTTCTCAGTACAAAAGTCTGATTTCCTTAAACTGACTCATCAAAAGGAGTTATAATGGTAAAGTCCAAATCAGAATTTCTTCATTTCAGGTCATTTAAATGCCAAGTTTATATTCCCCCAGTCTGCCTTTTTTCCCCTTCTCCCTTGGGGTGGAGTAATGTTATTACTCCTTCTCTTTTTTTCTGTTTTTTAATTTTCATATCACATCAGATAATTTATAGGACTCCTCAGAGTCAGCTGGATTCGTGAATGGAATACTTAAAGAGACAGAACTAAAATAGAAGTTGAGGTTGGGTGCAGTGGCTCACGCCTGTAATCCCAGTGCTTTAGGAGGCTAAGGCAGGAAAATCACTTGAGGCCAGGAATTCAATACCTCTGAGCAACACAGTCAGATCCTGCTGCTACAGAAATCTAAAAAAAAAATAAAAATAAAAATAAAAAGAGTAGCCGTACATGGTGGTTCATGCCTGTAGTCCTAGCTACTCAGTAGGAGGCTGAGGTGGGAGGATTGCTTCAGCCCAGGAGTTTGAGGCTGCAGTTACCATATCATTGCACTCCAGCCAGGGCAACAGAGTGAGATTAGATAGATAGATAGATAGATAGATAGATAGATAAATGGATAAATAGAACAAGAGCTTAATTGCTTTTTAAAATACAGGTTACATCTATTTCTTTCTCGCTCCTCTTCTTAGTGTGTAAGATTTTTAAAGACACAGCCCCAGCGTCATTTTGTCTTTCACGAGTAAACATCATTCTAATGGTGAAAGTACTTTGCTGAAGTGACTCAACTCTGGAATTCTGAGTCATCCTTCATTTGGTCCAAGCAGAAAAAGCCTCAGTAAATATTAAAGTGCAGCAAGCTGTTAAGCCCTTGATAAACCTACTCATAGTTTATTTGCCTCTTAATCAAAATGTTTCCTTTTAAGAGGAATTTTTAAAGTTTTAAAAGTCTAATTGTATGTTTCTTTACTTTTATGCAGAACACATCTCCTACAAAGATCTGTAGGTAAGTTTACTGCCCTCCCCACAAAAAGCCCGAGTATAAGATTTAACCTAATTGTAACTTGGATGATAAACTGTTTGTTGAAGATTCATACTCTAAGAGGTGACAGAAGAATTTATTATAAACATTCACATATCCCTAATTTGTGTCTTAGTCTAAAATTTCCTGTGTTTCTCTTTTCTTTCTGAAATATTTTATTCCAAAAGAGAAAACACCAGAACCAACCTGTGCTAGATTTCAGTCATTGATGCCCAAAACTTTACTAAACAGTTGTGTGATACTGATGGAGAATGAAAATGAAAAACATGGAAAGGACTTAAAAATTTAAAAGTAACGTTTGCAGTTTATTTGGTCTTTAATATTTTCCATGGTGGAAAAAGCACCGGCCTATAAGATTAGAACTGCAGTCCTGGGCCACAGCAGGGTGACTGTGGGCAGCTTTCCTCATCCTCTTTGCCTCAGTTTCCTCTGCTAAAGCGTAAACTGGGCTGTCCTCTCATTCAAACCTCGGTGCCTGCAGCATTTGAATTCTAACCTGGGTGCCCTGCACTGACTGCTTCCCGCTTCCTCTGCAGGCCAAGCAGCTCAGTCCTGCAGACAGAAAACCAACAAAGGTGCTTTGATAGATGGATTTAGGATTTCTGCTGCAGATATTTCTGGGCTTTCATCCAATCCCCCACCCTCCTTTTATTTCTTTATTACAGGTTCCACCTTGAAAGAATAAGACAAAACCAAACTTCAGGACTGTCCTCCTGTTTAAAAGGAGATTAGCAGGTGTCAGAGAGAGGCAGTAAAGCTCATGATACCTGATGTAATCAGGTACTGCTCGAGGCCAGGTGTGGTGGGCAGGCAGGCAGGTGTCTCACCCTTGGGCATCCCCCGTCTTCCACAGCCCCAAGAGGTTGTCTGTTTGGGGGGATCTCTGTTGCTCATTCCCCATGGATGGGGAAGCATCCTCTATTCTATGAAGCCTTTCACTATAGGGAGACACCAAACCCATCAGTATTCTCCTCTCCTCCCACCACAAAACGTGTCTATTCCCGGGCAGGTCCAAGAGGCTCCCCTGACAGTGTCTCCTCCACTTAGCCCACTGTTTGCCTTGGATTCTTCTCTGGGTCATTTGTGTGTTGGGGTGCCTTGAAAGTCAGCAAGGCTATAGGAGTAGGGCGGGCTGGGGTAGAGAGGTGTCCTGAGCCTTGGCTGCTCCGTGTTGTCCTGACCTTCCCAAGGCTGTGAGGCACCAGCTCCGAGGGCCCCTCTGCCAGTCCTCCTGCCTCTGGCCCAGCCGGTCAGTGCTGGTCCATTGGGTACAGTGGCAACTACACATGGTTATAGCAGTGAGCACCATCAGAATTGATCAGCACCACTGTTTTCAGTGTACTAAGATTACACATGCCATGTTGTTGTGTGTTACATATATATGTTTATGTGTACATATAAAAACATGTAGTCTCTATATAGAATATGGAATCTATGTTGGTAGGAGATGGCATATGGCAAAGTTCCCTGAAAGTGAAAACATTGTATTCAGCACTTTTGTTCATGCCTTTGATCCTTGGCTGTTTGCTGCCTGATGGAATAGTCAGTAGTTAAGGGGCACTATATATATATGTTGCCTCTATAAAATGGCAAGAGGAAAGAGACTAAGTGATAATTTGGGTTTTATGCTTTCTGGCGCCTTCTTTTAGGAGGAGAGAGTGGGGAAAGCTAGAGGCAAGAGCTTTCAGCATATGAAACTCAGAAGGAATAGGCCGTAAACCAGGGATTACTGAACCAGCTCCAAATTGACTTTCTAATGAGTAAGGATAGCTGCCTGAAAATGTCTGTGTTTGGCAGTGTTACTTTTTGTACAAGAATTTTTAAAAATTGCTTTACTGTGGAAATTTCTAAAGACATATCAAAGTAAACAGAATAATGAATGAAGTCCTGTGTACCCAGTTCCCAGCTTCAGCCATTTTCAGCTTCTGGCCTCACCCACTGCCTTGCTCAGTATTTATTCCAGGCACCCTAGCGTTTCATCTGTAAATATTTTAGTATGTATAAGAAATTTTTCTAATAAAACATTTTATGGGGGAAAAGTTTAAACCTACAGAAAAGTTGCAAGAATATTACAATGAGCTCCCATGTATTCACTTAGATTCACCCATTGGTAACATTTTTTGCATTTGCTTTCTTGCTATCTCAATGTATATATGTGTACACATGCATAAACATACATAAATATTGCATACATATATGATAATGTAGATATTATTCTTGCTCTTATGTTTTCTGAATCATTTAAGAATAAGTTGTAGAGGTCATGACTCCACTCGTAAATACTTCAAGCTGTGTTTCCTAAAAACAACAATCCCTTAGATAACTAAAGTGCAGTCATTGAATTTAGAAAATAACATCTGATATGATACTATTATTTAATATTGAGTCCATGTTCAAATGTTGCCACTTATCTGGCCACAATATTATTACTATTATTATTGTTTCCTTTTCTTTTTTGAGATGGAGTCTTGCTCTGCCACCCAGGCCAGAGTGCAGTGGCACATCTTGGCTTACTGAAACCTCCGCCTCCTGGGTTCAAGTGATTCTCCTGTCTCAGCCTCCTGAGTAGCTGGGACTACAGGCATGTGCCACCACACCTGGCTAATTTTTGTGTTTTTAGTAGAAAAGGGGTTTTACCGTATTTGCCAGGGTGGGCTCAAACTCCTGAACTCAAGTGATCTGCCCGCCTTGGCCTCCTGAAGTGCTGGGATTACAGGCGTGAGCCACCACACCTGGCACAATATTATCTTTTATAACATTCCTTTTTCCCCTAAAGATGTCATGTCTAAGCCGGGCGTATTGTCTCAGGCCTGTAATCCCAGCACTTTAGGAGGCCGAGTCAGGCGGATCACCTGAGGTCGGGAGTTCGAGACCAGCCTGACCAACATGGAGAAACCCTGCCTAAAAATACAAAATTAGCCTGGTGAGGTGGTGCATGCCTGTAATCACAGTTACTCGGGAGGCTGAGGCAGGAGAATTGCTTGAACCCGAGAGGTGGAGGTTGCGGTGAGCCGAGATTGCACCACTGCACTCCAGCCTGGGCAACAAGAATGAAACTCCGTCTCAAAAAAAGAAAAAAAAAGATGTCATGTCTCTTTTGTACCCTTTAATCTGGAACAGTTCCTCAGCTTTTTATTGTCTTTCATTGCCTTCGCATTTTTGAATAGAGGAGGCCTGTTGTTTTGTGAACTGTCCCTAAATTTGGGTTTGTCTCAGTGTTTTCTCGTGGTTCAATCCACGCTCTGCATGTTTGGCAGGAATACCACCCGAGTGATATGGTGTCCTTCCGAGCTTTATATCGAGAGGCACACAATGTGGATCTGCCTCGTTATTGGTGGTATTGTTTGATCATTCAGTTGTGAGGGTGCACAAAAGATTTTAATGCGATTTCTGTAGTGTTTTCATTTTTGAAACGGGCATATTTGTGGTCTGATTCCCCAGTTTTTCACTTGTATATTTTTGGGATCTGCAGTTGAAAAAACACTTGTTTCATTAGATGTTTCACAGGCACACTATTTTCCTCGAGTGAGCCAGCTGTGGTCTTGCAGATGTCCTGTAAATGCCTGACTCTGGGAAACAGCTAGCTGAGATCCAGAGAAGGAAAGGTCTGTTCATGAGTAGAGCACCTAATTGAAAACTACACAGCTAGTCAGGTTCACAGAGGAAAGACAGAGGAACCAAGTTGGTCTTGCAGGATCTTTGCCTCATCCAAACTCCAGAGGATGCATTTTCACCTCCACACTCTTGGGGAAAGCTTTGATGTTGAAAGGTGAAGCTGCAGTGTTTTATGTCCCTCTCCACAGTGCCCTCTTCCTCCTGGCCGCAGCAGGATGCCTTCCCTTCAATGACTCCCAGGTAAGTCCGGGTGAACTCATTTGCCTTCAAAGTGTCTTTTATTCTCTGAAGCCTGGGTGTATGACCAGAATTTCCTAGTCCTTCCTTTTAGAAGCAGGATAACTTGGCCTATGCAGAAGCATTCCAAAGCTTGCAGGCTGGGTAGCTTTGGGCCTGGGCAATACCATTTCCCCAGGCTTTTGCCTTCTCCCCAAGGCTGGAGGCATCGCGGTCTGCAGAGCTCTGATCCCTGAGCACTGTGGTGCCTGCCGTCTGTCCTCTGTACATGCCTGGTGAACCTGTTAGCCAACGCCCAGGTTGCCCCAGCCTCAGGCATGGAGGCAAAGTGGATTTCCTCTCCTCCCAAGGGCCTCATCTCCTACAAAGTGATTTTTTGTTTTTGTTTTTGTTTTGTTTTGAGACAGAGTCTCACCCTGTTGCCCAGGCTGGAGTGGAGTGGCACGATCTCGGCTTACTGCAACCTCCACCTCCTGGGTTCAAGCGATTCTCCTGCCTCAGCCTCCTGAGTAGCTGGGACTACAAGCACCCACCACCACACCCAGCTAATTTTTTGTATTTTTAGTACAGATGAGGTTTCTCCATGTTGGCCAGGCTGGTCTCAAACTCCTGACCTCAAGTGATTCACCCGACTTGGCCTCCCAAGGTTCTGGTATTATGGGCATGAGCCACTGTGCCTGACCTGCAAAATGATTTTTATTTTATTATCCTGTGCTAAAGTTGAGTTTTCTTTATGAGGTGCTGAGGACCCACCCCTGCCCCCAGTAGTCCTCTCATTTCTGGGTTTCCTTTCTTTCTTTTTTTCTCCCTCAGGATTATTAGGTCCCCACCAAGTGTCAGGCACTGAGCCAGGTTCTGGGGACACAAAGAGGAAAATTAATCTTTGCTCAGGCAGAAGTCAAGCCTATTTGGAGCAAAGGGGAGGGAAACAGTCAAGTAAACAGATCATTATCACACAGGGAGGCCAGGGCTCTGTCCCCGAGGTACAGGAGGCTCTGAAGCACCTAAGAAGACGTGGGACCTCAGGAAGTAGAAATAGCCACAATTACAGGGAGCCTGCTGTATGCCAGGCTCTGTGCCAATGCTTTCTGTGCCTTATGTTATTTAAAATCTCCCCACATTTCTGTAAGGGTGGGAGAATTATTATCTCCATTTCATAGCATAGAATAAGGAGGTTCAAAAGGTCAGCAGCTAACAAATAAGTGAGGATTTTAGAATTTATCCCAGATCTCTCTGATGCTAGAGCCAGGCTCTGCTTACAGGACCTAAATCTGGAAGAATGAGGAGGAGTTAGCCAGGAGAAGAAAGCTGGCGAGGGCAGTCGTGGAGTGTCATGAGTATCCTGTGATCCAGCATCATTGAGCACCTGTTGTGTGTCTACCCCTGTTCTAACACCTGCCCTCCTGGAATGTACATCTACGAGAGGGGAGGGCAGGGGGAGACAGAAACACATAAACAAATAAGGAAGAAATAAATAGGACGTGTCCTATGATACTACATCCTGTGGAGAATAATAAGGGAAGAAGTAGAGGGTCCCCTTGGTTGAGTTGTAGGGGGAAGCAGTCATGCTTGGGAAAATGCAAGTTATCCTTATTCAGGGACAGTAGGAGGCTGTACATACAACTGGAGGGGTTGATGGGGGCTTGTCACAGAGGTCTTGGGGCGTCATGAGTTTAGATTTGAACTTTGTGATGGCAGTGAGGGGCATGGGGTGTTGGAGGCAGAGTCCTGTTAGGAAGATGTTGTAGGCACCTGGGTGAGGAATGAGAGGGAACCAAGGAACTGACGTAAGGCCCCAGGGGTCCTATTTTGGGACCCTTGCTTGGCACTGCGCATTGATGACAGGGTTTCTGATGGCCGCACTGGATTCCGTTTGCCTTGCTCTTATAGCCATTTTTTCTTTTTTTAATTCTGTGTTTCAGTTTGATCCAGATGGATATTTTTGGGCTGTAATTCACTTATTCTGTGTAGGTAAGTTTTAAAATAGTACTTACGTAAGGCTGGGCACAGTGGCTCATACTTGTAATCCCAGCACTTTGGGAGGCCAAGGCAAGCGGATCCCTTGGGCCCAGGAATCAGAGACCCACCTGGGCAACCTCGAGAAACCCCGTCTCTACAAAAAATACAAAAATTAGCCAGGCATGGTGACACATGCCTGTTGTCCCAGCTGCTCAGGAGGCTGAGGTGGGAGGATCACCTGAGGCCAGGGAGGTCGAGGCTGCAGGAGTCATGATCACACCACCACACTCCAGCCTGGGCAAAAGAGTGAAACCCTGTCAAAAAAAAAAAGGAAAGAAAGAGACAGAGAGGGAGAGAGAGAAAGAGGGAGGGAGGAAGGAGGGAGGAAGGAGGGAGGGAGGGAGGCTTTCTTGAACAATTGAGGTTTATTGTATACCCACTTTTTGGTGACCCTGGACAATAGGAAAATCAAATCCAAGGTGTGAAGGTTAAAATTAAATGGTCATTTTCTGGATTGGTTTTCTATTTTGAGGTTTTTCCTCAAATGTGTCCATTTCCAATATACTTTCCTCTTTTTTCATGGCAAATACGAACTAACTCACCATGACTTGGGGTTTCACTTGCTCAAGTCAGCTTTTGGAATGCTGATTGGTCTTCTCTAAAAACGTTGGGAAGATATTCAGAAGTTCATGTCAAAAACTTTTTTTTTTCGGTAATTTACCAAAAATGTTGAAATTGGTCAAATAAAGGGACCATCTGATTTTATTACAAATCATATGTTCAGTGTTGCTTGTCCGTAGTCCTGGGAGAGAAGCAGTGCCCTGACTGTTAACACAGCTCAGAAATGTTCAGCAATCCAGGGGTGTTTCTTTTTTCATGTGCATCATGTCAAGGAAGTAACACCTTCCTGTTAATTGTGTCCTTCATTGATCATGATGCTTTCCATGCCCAGCACTCTGGGGACCACTGGAAGGACTGACTGCGTTATCATAGAGGATTATTGAATTTGCATCCTTGAAACCTTCCAAATGTTGATGGTCTTCTCCTGTCAGCTGGGTGTGACCCTCATAGGGAAAAGGACCAGCAGTCATGCCTTTGGGGGCCTTTATCCATGTGGATTTTGTGTTTCCCTGGACATGCCAGCAGTTCCTTGAGCAGAATACCATGACCAGTGACATGTTTTATTTCATTTTCAGGGGCTTATAAAATTCTGCGGAAGTCCCAGAAACCCAGTGCATTAAGGTAAACTCTTAAACTCTTTTCTTTTTTTTCCCTTGTGATGGAATTTCGCTCTTGTTGGAGTGCAATGGCACGATCTGGAGTGCAATGGCGCGGTCTCAGCTCACCTCACCCTCCGCCCACTGGGTTCAATCTATTCACTTGCCTCAGCCTTCCAAGTAGCTGGGATTACAGGCATGCGCCACCATGCTTCACTAATTTTGTATTTTTAGTAGAGAGGGGTTTCTCCATGTTGGTCAGGCTGGTCTCAAACTCTCGACCTCAGGTGATCCGCCTGCCTTGGCCTCCCAAAGTGCTGGGATTACAGGTGTGAGCCACCGTGCCCAGCCAAGACAAACTCTTAATGTTTGGTGAGCTGTGGTTGGCCTAAAGGAAAGGGTTGAGACTTGTGGTATCATGAAATTCTTCCATTTGGCCAGAGACTCTGCAGGCCTGGATTGTGGTGAGGGCAGGGTACTTAGTCCTTGAAGCCGTCCCTCTTCTTGCTGTTTGGGCCACTCCAGGCTGTGTCCGCTAACACCTGGAACATGCCTGCCTTTAGCCGTGTGTGAAGAGGCATGGAAGTCTCAATCCCCTTCCTTTAGGGGATTCACATGTCACCTCTCAGATGACATGTGAATGAAATGTATGTGGCCAGCTGTTTTGGGTGCCAATCGGCTGCATCGATCACAGAGGGACAGTACTTTTTCTTGTTTCCCGAGCTCCATCCTAATTTGACTTACTTTAGACCCAGAAGTCTCTCCACTTCCTAGCTCATTCTTGGGCAAAATGAGGCCTTTGTTGCAGGCAGTCAATGGAGCAGCTTTGGTGAATGTAAATGAGAAAAGACAAGACTTCAGGCCTGGAGCTGTAAGGCCAGTTCCCCTAGACCAGCCAGCTGGCCTCTGGGTTTTGGGGCCTGCTGAAGGCCTAATGAGAAAAGGTTCGAAGGGAATGACTCCTGAGAGAAGGTCATCCACTCTGAGAATGTGGGGCTTCCACTCCCTGGAGCACCTTTTGTTCTTTTAATAAAATGTTTTTGTAGCAAGAAGCCAGTAGAGTTGCCAGATAAAATACAGGATGCCTGGTTGCATTTGAATTTCAGATAAGCCTCGAATAATTTTTGTAATATTCGGAACAGATAGTACTTACACTAAAACATTACTCTTTATCAGAAATTCAAATGTATTTGATTGCCCTGTATTTTTACTTGTTAAATCTGGTAGCTGCAGAAGCCAGTCCAGTGGCCTGAGATAGTTGACACTCCTTTGAAAGTGACAAATGTATACGTGGGAAACAGTTGCCCACAGGTGAAAATGTGTGTGATTTAAAATGAACTAGCAACTGGTTTTGAATATTAAGTACTTTTCCCTCTATTTATGGGTAATTTATAAAAGTAGTAACTAAAATAGAATTTATTGATAGAAGATAATGATTATTTTATGTATTTAAAATAGTTCTGCTATTTCATTTATCTTTTTTTCTCTCTCATTCCTTAGTGACATTGACCAGCAATACTTAAACTATATATTCAGGTAAAATATAATTTACATTTTTAAAGAACAGTTCATATCCTTTTAGGGCTAATGGATTTTTATTTTCCAATAATATTTTGATTGAAGAGTTCTGAGCCAGTGTGCCTGCCAGGAAGGTAAGTTACAGAATTTGTGAGGATAACCAGAGTTGAGGAGACCAAATAGTAGTCTTGCCCTTAGACCAAGCAAGAGGGGCCTCTCTCAGGCCCTAAACTTTAGAGGGCCACATCCCTCCTCTGGGGCATGGCATCTGTGAGGCTAAGGACGTTTCTCTCATCCCAGAGCCCACCCCCTCACTTCTAGATTGTGTCCTTGAATCCCCACCCGTGTCCCTGAGCTCGACTCCAGAGCTCCTTGGGTCCTTCTTCCCAACTCACTCTCAGGCCCAAGGGGTGTCCAAAGAGAGGCTCTCAATGGGCAGGAGTGGAGGTGGAGGTGACCTTGCAGGCTCAGATGTCCACACACATGTGTGAGGCCCTTGGGCTGCAGGATGAAGCCTGGGGTGGAAAGAAAAGGGAGGCATTGCCAACCGGGAGTCAGAGGCTGCCCTGGGCTGCTCCATTCTGACATGCAGCACCAGGGAGCCCAAGAATTCTACATTTTAAACTAGACTTTCAGGTTATTTTGAAGGTGTATTTGTTAAGGTAGGATGAAGTCTGAGACTTGATTTATAACTTTTAAATATGGTATGTGGACTTCTGTTTGTATCCTTGTCCCAAGCCAAGCAGAGAATGAGCCTGCTTTACTAGAACAGCATGATATACCCTTTTTATATTAGTATAATTTCTTCATTATAATGTGCATGTAATTTATAATCTGAGAACTCTAAGGGGTTTCCGTGTTGGGAGGCTGAGGCAGGAGGATCACTTGAGCCCCAGGGTTCAAGGTTACAGTGAGTGATGATTGCGCCACTGCACTCCAGCCTGGGCGACGGAGAGATCCTGTCTCAAAAAAAAAAGTATACAGGGCTTCAAGTTACATTTTCCTTCAAACATAGTCCCACCACAGTACACCTAGAGGTGATTAATTGCAGTCCAGAAAACGTATTGTGTACCTGCCACATGATGTCTGGCACTGCTAGGGATCCAAGGATGAATAAAATATGGTTCTTGCCCCCAGGGAGGTCGCAGTGTAGGATGCCACACAGGGGAAAGGATGAAAAGAGAATGAAGAGGAGTGTTCCTTTGATGTGAGCCTCATTCATCCTTGGCACCCTCCCGTCACCCTCTCTGGAAACCCCTCCCATCCCCCAGCACCCCTCTGCAGTGCCTTCATGCTGCCAAAGCCCACTGTGGGGGGCCCAATCCCCCACCCTCTGCAGCCTCTTCTATCAAAACTCATGCCTCCAGATGACCGATTGAGTTAGAGGTTAGGCATAAACATGTGATCTAAGTATTGGAGGGATTTTTTTTTTCAAGTACTGAATGGCCTGCTTTGGTAGGAGTTAGGAGTGGCTTAACACTATATTTACAAAATTCAAACAAGGATTAAAGAACCAACTCCTTCACTTAATTATTTCTTATATTTACCCCCTAATATTTTATTTGAGGTTACCCTTTGGGTGATTCTGATGATGGGATTTGGGGTACGTGACCAGCTCTGGGAGATGCTTTGGGATGGTAAGAGGCCCCTCATATCCTGCCATAAGAGTGATCACTTCTGCTCCTGAAGTTATAACCCAAAAGGGATTCAGGGAGATAAAATAATGGAGTATGAACAGGGTATATGTTTTCCAAAGAAAGGTGAGATGGAGGCAAAGACTTAGAGAGCCCATGCAAAGGGCTAATCATTGCAAAGTCTCCAGTCTCATTTATAGCTACATGCAGCCCTGTCTTACACACCTACAACTTCTCAATGACCAGATGTGTGGCTCTTCCCATTGGCTTTCTCCCAAGCCTGCTGTCCAGCCTCTGTCCACAGTGCTGCTGCCCTGGGGCCATCAGAGAACCTGAGCTTTAGAGGAAGAGCACAGGAAGAGCACGAGAAACACAGAAATGGTTCTGGGAGACAGCCCCAGAGCAGGCAGGGCTCCCATTGGTTTCTTTGCTCACAGCCATCTTCCTCCACACTGCCTAGGATGTCACCGCCGACTAGGGATTCCTTGTGGTAGTTCCCAGTCCTGGTGCACTTTAGAGCCACTGAGAGGCCATAACAAAATAAAACAACTGATGCCTGCACCTCAGAGATTCCGATTTAAGCCAGGACACTGGGCTATTCTGATACGCAGCCAGGGTTTAGAACCAGAGTAGGCCATCCAGCACTTCAAAAAATTCCCTCCCGAATTGAACAATGAGAACACTTGGACACAGGAAGGGGAACATCACACACCGAGGCCTGTCGTGGGGTGGGGGGAAGGAGGAGGGATAGCATTAGGAGAGATACCTAATGTAAATGACGAGTAATGGGTGCAGCACACCAACATGGCACATGTATACATATGTAACAAACCTGCATGTTGTGCACATGTACTCTAAAACTTAAAGTATAATAAACAGTAAATAAACTTTAAAAATAAAATAAAAATAAAACATTTCCTCCCATACTTAGAAAACATGTTTTATTCCTAGCCTCTAATTTGGTTGGCTGCCTGGATGGCATGAGGTTTGATGGAAGAGGTTGCAGAGGGTAGGGGATTGGGCCCCCCACGGTGGGGTTTGGCAGCGTGAAGGCTCTGTAGAGGGGCTCTGTGGGACAGGAGGGGTTTCCAGAAAGGACGATGGGAGGGTGCCAAGGATGAACAGGGCTCACATCAAAGGAACACTCCTCTTCATTCTCTTTTCATCCTTTCCCCTCTGTGGCATCTAAAATCAGTAAAGGTAGTTTTCAGACACATGGTGGATGGGCTGGATCAATTGCGGGCTAGCCTCTTGGAAACGTAACTATCTTCTACACAGTTAATTTTGTGACAAAAATATACGTAGCTCACACACAACAGCTAGCTTTTACATTGCAACCTATTTTAATTCAGAGTTTGCTTCGTTTAGCTTGTAAATACTCTTGGTAGATTAGGTGAGTATGATCGTAACTAGGGTCAGCCAGGACCAAGAAAAGAGACACAGTGAACCCTCAGGTTGAGACGTGGATTCATATTCTGTCCCAAGCCTGTCTGTCCCAAGAGGCAATCTTCCTGCCAAAACATGAGACATTTCAAGACATTCTTACTCTCTCTGAGGAGCTGGATTTAGTCAGAATGAGTCAGTGCAGATAATTTGCTTTTAGGCAAATTTAACTATTTCCAAGTAAAATGGGTGGGAACAGCTGGGGTTTTTGGTGCGGGGGAAACTTCTTGACTACTTTGCTGTCTCTTTTCCAGTGTGGTGCTCCTGGCATTTGCGTCTCATCCCACAGGTAAAAGGCCCCACCAAGTGCTGTTTTGTTTGTCTGTTTGACATTGCTCATTGGACCCAGTGAGCCTGTCTCTCAGAGACATTTCACAAGAGAATGTCATTGCCCCCCAGGATGACTGCAAGGGCAGGAAGGTCCCACCTATTTGAAACTGCTCTTAACAAACCAATTTATCAACCAGGAATTTATTCTTACGCCTTCTTGTTGTCTGTGTTTTCATCCAGTATGATCTCAGATATACAGACAGGTCTATTTCCTGCCGAGTAAACTAGTGCTTATTTTGCCCTCTTCTGAAATTCCTTTTCCAAGCATCCTGAATTGCTCTTCATTTCTAGTATTAAAAAATTTGGTGAAAAAGTTCAAAAGTTCAAAAAACTCCCTGAATCTGTTTTTGGTGATCACTTCAGGAGCAGAAGTTATTGCTCTTATGGCAGAATATGAGGGGCCTCTTGCCATCCCATAATATTTCCCAAGGCCTGCTGTGGTACCCCAAATCCCATCATCAGAATCATCCCAAAGGGTAACCTCAAATAAAATATTAGGGGGTAAATATAAGAAATAAGTGGGCCAGGCACAGTGGCTCTCGCTTGTGTAATCCCAGCACTTTGGGAGGCTGAGGCAGGCTGATCACGAGGTCAGGAGATCGAGACCATCCTGGCTAACACGGTGAAACCCCGTCTCTACTAAAAATACAAAAAATTAGCCGGGCGTGGTGGTGGGTGCCTGTAGTCCCAGCTACTTGGGAGGCTGAGGCAGGAGAATGGCGTGAACCCGGGAGGCAGAGCTTTCAGTGAGCGGAGATCGTGCCACTGCACTCCAGCCTGGGCGACAGAGTGAGACTCAGTCTCAAAAAAAAAAAAAAAAGAAAGAAATAATTTAGTGAAGGAGTTGGTTCTCTAATTCTTGTTTGAATTTTGCAAATATATTATTGAGTTACCCTCTTTCTATCTGGCATCATTTTTAAAGTTTGTATCATATGTCACCATCCAATTCTCATAATTCCAGATGAAAGGAGTCAATTCTTTTTTTCGTAAAAATGCACACACACAAAACGCATGTTTACTCACCACTTGCTATGCATAAGGCATTACCCAGGCCCTCTAGGTCTCGGTTTTCATATCTAGAAAATGAGAAAGGTGAATTGGCTGCTTCCTAACGTCCCTTCTAGGTCTCATCTTGTGCTTAAAGCAATTAACAGCTTTCTGTTGGCGTTTTCAGCTGCTTCTTTCTGTTGGTGTTTTACCTGCTATCTGAGCGAGGATCCTCAGGGACTTGTTGATAGTGACTCAGGAATAACGCTTCTAGATTGTATGTGACATATCTGAATCCATGTATCGTAAGGATAGCTTGAATACATTTTCTTAATACATTACACTCCGCTTGCCACATGAAAGCACAGTTCCTATAGTCTGCCTGCTTCTGTGAACGATGACTTCTCAAAACTCCAGGGTTTACTGTGGAGTCCCCTCTCTGCTGTCATTTGCTGAAAGTCTATCTTTTGTGAAATAGTAAGTCCTGTGAAGCCATACTGTTAACCCTAAATGGCCTCTGCTTACCCCTACTGCTGGTTGTCTGCCTTTCAGTTGCGTCTCCTATCATTCCTTTATGCAGCCAGGTAGCTGCCACCCAGCAGACATTTAAGAGCCGACTAAGTGTCCTGTCCCTTTGAAATGTGCTTTTGTCAAAGGCCTTTCGAAAGTTATGTTCACAGATTCTCCTTGGTTTACATCCTGAATTATTTCTAGCGGACTTGGGTGAATAATTCTTTTTTTTTTTTTTTTCCCCTAGACAGAGTCTTGCTCTGTTGCCCAGGCTGGAGTGCAGTGGTGTATCTCAGCTCACTGCAATCTCTGTCTCCTGGGTTCAAGCGAGTCTCCTGCCTCAGCCTCCTGAGTAGCTGGGATTATAGGCACCTGCCACCATGCCTGGCTAATTTTTGTATTTTTAGTAGAGACGGGGTTTCACTACATTGCCCAGTCCAGTCTGGAACTCCTGACCTCAAGTGTTCTGCCCACCTCGACCTCGCAAAGTGCAGGGATTATAGGCATGAGCCACTGTACCCGGCTGGGTGAATAATTTTTACCTAAAGAAATCGGCCGGGCGCGGTGGCTCAAGCCTGTAATCCCAGCACTTTGGGAGGCCGAGACGGGCGGATCACGAGGTCAGGAGATCGAGACCATCCTGGCTAACACGGTGAAACCCCATCTCTACTAAAAAATGCAAAAAACTAGCCGGGCGTGGTGGCGGCGCCTGTAGTCCCAGCTACTCGGGAGGCTGAGGCAGGAGAATGGCGTAAACCCGGGAGGCGGAGCTTGCAGTGAGCTGAGATCCGGCCACTGCACTCCACCCTGGGCGACAGAGCCAGACTCCGTCTCAAAAAAAAAAAAAAAAAAAGAAATCATGCTGCCCTTCAGCTAAGAGATTGTGCTTGCTCATTTGTTACACTTATGATGGTCAGAGCTGGAAGGAATCTTAGCGATTATCCCAGGTACCACCGAATTGTGTTAATTACTTGTGCACCATCCTAATACAAATGAGGAGATTGAAACCCCGAGGAGTTAAGTGATTTGACCAAGATGATGCAGAGTAGGCAAGTAGTAGGTCTTCTGACCTTCTTTCTTTCTTCTTTTTTTTTTTGAGATGGAGTCTCACTTTGTCACCAGGCTGGAGTACAGTGGCGCAATCTCGGCTCAATGCAACCTCCACCTCCCCGGGTCAAGTGATTCTCCTGCCTCAGCCTCCTGAGTAGCTGGAACTACAGGCACCCGCCACCAAGCCCGGCTAATTTTTTGTATTTTTAGTAGATATGGGGTTTCACCATGTTGGCCAGGATGGTCTCTATCTCTTGACCTCGTGATCCACCCACCTCAGCCTCCCAAAGTGCTGGGATTATAGGCGTGAGCCACCACACCTGGCCTCATGACCCTCTTTCTAAGTTTTTCTTTTTAAATGCTGCTCTTTCAGTGATCCTACACTTTATTATTATTATTATTATTATTATTATTATTATTATTATTATTATTTTGAGACAGAGTCTCGCTCTGTTGCCCAGGCTGGAGTGCAGTGGTGCAATCTTGGCTCACTGCAACCTCCACCTCCCAGGTTCAAGTGATTCTTCTGCCTCACTCTCCCAAGTAGCTGAGATTACAGGCACCCGCCACCACGCCTGGCTAATTTTTGTATTTTTAGTAGAGACAGGGTTTCACCATACTGGCCAGGCTGGTCTTGAATGCCTGACCTCAGGTGATCTGCCTGCCTCAGCCTCCCAAAGTGTTGGGATTACAGGCATGAGCCACCACGCCCAGCCCCCTACACTTTACTACAAAGTGTCCCACTCTAGTGAATGCTTCTGTACAATATTCCTGAATTTTGGTCTGGAGCTACTTTTGGTTTGGGGGATATGTTTAGCCACCAGTTTCTGAACATGGTGACTGCTGGTAATAGCTTAGCCATTTTGGCCAACAGTCTGACATTTTACCTTGAGTTACTGCTAAACTTTTAGGTCAATACAAAAATACCTTGGACACTTAATTACTCGTTGGGAATGCAAAGTGGTCAGAAGTATATGATTGTAGAATGCCCTGGGCAGAGGAGTAATTTAAAATAGGCTTTAGTTTCTTTTTGAGGTAATGAAAATGTTCTGGAATTAGATAGTGGTGATGTTTGCACAACTCTATGAATATACTAAAAACCACTGAAGTGTACACTTTAAAGGGTGAATTTTATAGTATGCAAATTATATCTCAATAAGAAAATGTATTGGCGGAATAAAAGGACACCTTTCTTATTTGAAAACCTGTTTGGAGCTTAATTATGCCAGAAGGGATACTTGCATGGATTGATTTTCCTTCAAGTTATATTTTCATAATTTTTGAAAAAGAATGGACACAGATATTCACCTTCCCTTCCCTCTCCTGCAGGGTGGGGGATGGGTCTGTGGTGGGCAACCCAGGGCATTGTGGAGCCTGTTGGATTTGTCAGAGAGAGTCCTGGGACACTGCTCTTGAAGGACTGTTCTCTGCAACTTGGATTTTTTACAGTTTCCTGCTAGCTGAGGTGGTGTCATTGCAGAGGCCGAGTACAGAAAGTCGGGCTTATAAGAAGGGTTTTGCTGGGCTGTGGCACTGCTGAAGTGGCTGTGGGCTCCCTTGCTGTAAAGAAGCAGGACTACTCTTATAGGGTGGCTCCAATTCCCGCCAGTTCATTCATTCGCTTTCTGATGGGACCCATGGGTAGTCTAGCCCACTTCAAGGTAGAACAGAACTTTATTCTTTTTCACTTGCTTATTACACTTGCCATCTGGAACATCTGCCATGGGGCCTGAGTGTGTGTTGGGTGAGCTGTCTTCCTGGTTCCCTACTGCCCCAGTTAAGACACAGTCACAGTCAGTCTCCATAGGGACAGTCTACTTGGAAGGATCTGTTCATACTTTCTGACATCTTACAGCAGGGCTCAATTCTTTTTGGTTTCTTCTTACCCCTTCTTTTTTTCTTTCTTTATTTATTTATTTATTTATTTATTTTTTTGAGACAGAGTCTCGTGTTCTCTTGCCCAGGCTGTAGTACAGTGGCACGATCTCTGCTCACTGCAACCTCTGCCTCCTGGGTTCAAGTGATTCTCCTGCCTCAGCCTCCCGAGTAGCTAGGATTACAGGTGCCCGCCACCATGCCCAGCTAATTTTTGTATTTTTAGGAGAGACGGGGTTTCACCATGTTGGTCAGGCTGGTCTTGAACTCCTGACCTCAAGTGATCCACCCGCCTTGGCCTCCCAAAGTGCTAGGATTACAGGCGTGAGCCACTGCACCTGGCCCCCTTCTTTTATTACTTGTATCTTAGTTATTTGGTAGTACTTTAAAAACATTTTAAGATTGATATATAATTTACATATATGAAATATACATGTTAAATGTACAGCTCGGTCAATTTTGGCAAATCTACATACCTGCATAACTTATCTGCCACCAAGATATAGAACATTTCTATCACTGCAGAAAGCTTCCTCCTGCCCCTTCCTGGTCACTCCCTCTCCACACCATGAAGGCCTCTATGGATCTGATGTCTGTTACCATAGATAAGTTCTGTCTGTTCTCAAGCCCTTGTAAATGGAATCATCAGTACTTTTTGTGTCTGGCTCTTACATGCAGCACGGTGTTTAGAGACTCATTCATGTTGTTGTGTATATCATGAGTTTGTTCCTTTTTGTTGCTGGTAGGGTTCCATTGTATGCATATACCACGTTTGTTTATCCATTTACCTGTTGATGCTCACCTGGGCTGTTCCCAGCTTGTGGCTGCTCTGAACATTCTCATACCAGCCTTTTTGTGGACTTATGTTCTCACGTCTCTTGGATGAACATTTCAGAATAGGATTACTGGGTCTTAGAGTAGATGTATGTTTCACTTTCTAAGAAAGGATGTTTTCCAAAGTGTTTGTACCATTTTCCACTCCCACCCAGTAGTGTGTGGGAGTTCCAGTTGCTCCACATCCTCACCAGCATTTAATGTTGTCAGTCCTATTTTAACTCTTCTAGAGGGTGTGTGAGGGTTTCTGGATAGTGCTTTTGACTGAGCTTCCCTCCTCACTCACACCTGAGTGATTGGAAAGAGGAGCTCTCTTGCAGGTGCACCTTTGGAGTGTGCTGGCAGCAGTGGTGGGACTCAGGCAGACATTTTTTCATGCCCTCAGCATGGGCCCCACCACAGAGTTTGCTCTGAGAATCTCAGAACCTTCCTTGAGAAGGGGACCACCTTTCCCCCTTGCACTCTTAAGTATAGTAGATAAGAGGAAATTTCCCCTCTTAAAGAATTTGCACTTCCTATTTGTGTGGGGCCCCTTAGCTGTGGTGGTCAAGAGAGCTGGAGAGAATTTCAGGGAACAAAAGGAGCGGGGAGACTCAGGAATCTGGCCCAGAAACAACCTTGTTACCTGGTGTGTCTGTGGCTCGTGTGTGAGACAGAGCAAACAGCACTAATTACTGCTTGGAACTGACTTCCTGTTTTCCTGCCAGTTTTGAGAGTAAGAACATGAGAGGAAATTTTCTTCATGCTCAAATATCAATTTGTCTTGAATGTGGTAATATTGTGTCACACTTTTCACCATGGCAGTTTCATGCTTCGTAATCTTTAAAGAAATGGGCTTCACTTGCTCGCTCAGAGTCAGCGGAATTTTAACTGCAGAACACAACAGTGAGGGCCTAACTCAGACTCCATTGCATAATGCCGCATGTTGCTGTAGCAAAACATGTTTACTTTTTTTTTTTGAAATGGAGTAGTCTTACTCTGTCACCCAGGCTGGAGTGCAATGGCGCAATCTCGGCCCACTGCAAACTCTGCCTCCCGGATTCAAGCAGTTCAACTCTGCTTCAGCCTCCCGAGTGGCTGGGATTACAGGCTCCCGCCACCACCCCTGGCTAATTTTTTATTTTTAGTAGAGACAGGATTTCACCATCTTGGTCAGGCTGGTCTTGGACTCCTGACCTCGTGATTCACCCGCCTCAGCCTCCCAAAGTGCTGGGATTACAGGCGTGAGCCACCGCACCCGGCCATGTTTACCACTCTGTAACCACTTGATTTGTGCTTAAGCCATGTAGTTCAGCACTAGATGGTGCAGGAGTGTTGTTTTGAGGCCATTTTTTAGGCTCCTGGATCAAGTTTGCATATGGCTGGGGCCAGCCAGCCACATGCTGCAACCTCTTCTGGGGGTATTTGTAGCACAGTCACTAACATTTGCTGTTCCAGGATTGCCGTGCACCCTCTCCGCTTAGGAGTACTACTTTAGCAAAAGAGAAGGCAGGTGGAAGGCACCAAAGGGGAAAATTTGAGGTCAGCTTGAAATTGAGGACCACAGAGCCAGCTGGAAACTAGAACATTAGCTCTAGGGAAGGCAAGGAGGTGATCAGGTCTTTCTGATAGTCTTGGTTTGGTAGTGCTTGCTGTGTGCTGGGTGTGTTGGATATGGTGCACAGCGGGTGCGGGGATGAGGAAAATAGCATCCCTACTCTCAAGGACTCACTAATTCTAGGAGGAGGGACAGGTGTGAAGTCAGCTAAGTGGTGTGTGAGAAACCAACGTATGATGGTTTTAGCGATGGCTCAAAGGCAAGGGTTAGCTATTCTTATTTTGTCTCTCCCATTGTGGAGTCAGTTTTCAGGATTTGGGTGGGGGTTATTATTTCCCGAGGACTGTGTTTTGTTTTGTTTTGTTTTGTTTTTTCTTTCTTTTCCTCCCTCCCAGTCTTCTTCTGACCACACTTCTGCTCTTTAGACCCCCTCCAAAGCCTGAGCTGGGCTATAAAAGCTGCCACGCGCCGTGAGTCCCGTTCACCCTGCTGGAGCGTTTCTCATGAAAGACTGGGTGCTGAGAGGGGTGCAGCCTGAGAGGTCTCAAGGTCCTGGGTTTCATTCGTCTCCCTCTCCGTCATTCCTCATTATCACACTGGCTGCGCTGCAGTTCTTCTCACACTGAGAGGGAAATTGGGAAAGGGCCAAGAGCACACAGCTGCCAAAGAGACGGAACACATTCTCCGTGGACGTGGACAGACTCTCCCTCCACCTGCCTGAATGGAGGGCTCTGGCCACTCTCTAGGTCTGGGGTCCCCAGGGCACCCTTGCCTATCACTCCTGTGGGGAAAGGGACTTCAGAATATATCCATGCTCTTCACACACTAAGGGACACCTGATGTTGTCATTTACAAATTCCCTCTACCAACACAGGTCCCGGTTTGACAGTAGAGGTGTTCGGAGGAATCGTGGCTGAAAGAGAACAAGAAGTCTTGTTGGGCTTCATGAAAACCAGATCCCAAGAAATCCCCTCCTTGTAGTTAAATACACACTCACTTGCAGAAACAAAACAAAGAAAATAACAGTCATAATTTTTAAAAAAACCTCCAGAGAAATCCAACTCAGAACTTTCCTTCCCAATAGATAGTTGAATCATTTGAGATCGTTTGGGTCTCCAAGAAAGCGTAGGAGCCCATCATGTCTTTTGATCTGAAACTCTTGATTAGTAGCATAGTGGTGAAGGAAATGCTGCTGCCTGTGTGTTCCACTGCACACCTTATATACTAGCAATACTTAGGAAATTCAGCCCTCTCCCCACAGGCCCCCAGAACTGAGAGACAGGCTAAGGCCCAGGGGTCTGGAAGACCAGGCTCTCCAAGGGGTTCAGAAATTCCAGATTTGGAAGACTCAAGCTATGTGCTGTGGAAATGCTTAATTCCTTTTCTCCGGACATTTTTGGAAGGATTTCTGCTTTTTTAATCTCCTGACTTTTTGTTTGTGACCAAGTTCAAATTCCAGAGAGGGAAACGGCCAATATGTGTGATTATTTCCTCTTGCACCAAGTGGAACTAAAGGAATGAACTTACTTCACAAGAAATAAATGTACCCTTTGGACCTCAAACTAAAATGAATTTGCACAGTTGGTCTGGCCCCCGTGCTGTTCTTGTAGTCATTAAACATGAAAATGAAAAAAAAAAAAAAAATGTCAGGGCAGTACATTCATGACCTTTTTTTTAGATATGAGGCAGAAAAGAAGAAAAGAGTCTTGAAAAAGATTCTTTTATCCTGCACACTCTCTTGTGCAGGGTTGACTGCCTAGTAGAGAGGAGACAGCCTAAGGTTTGGATTGACTGGAGTTCACATTCTGGCTCCATAGTTTAAGAGTTGTGCAATCTTAGCCATGTTCCTTAACTTCCCTGAGCCTTAATTTAAATGGGCATAATAGAGCCTCACAGAGATGTTACTAAGATTGAAAGAGATACATACATAAAGATTTTAGCATTGGGCCCTGCACAAGGCATGCTCCCACTAAATGGGCATTATTATCATCATCTCTTCATACTGTTACTATCATGATAAGATAATGTCAGTAACAGAATCCCTGGGAATGCTGGAGTGAATTCAATGCCAGGGGACTGAAAGCATAGGACTGCTAAAGACGCCCTCCTTGCATTTCCTGGGGCGACGGGGCAAAGGGGCATGTGAGGCCTCATGGGTCACTGTTTCACTATTGCTGTGCCCCTCAGGTGATCTCTTCAGTGTCCTGGACTTCCCATTCCTGTACTTCTACAGATTCCATGGCAGCTGCTGTGCCAGGTAATCTTAAGCTCACTCATTTGTATGCTTTCCGTGCTGTCCGCCGTGTCTTCCTCTCTGTGAAGTTCAGGGTCACTGCTGGTACCTCAGTGAGTGGCAGGAGAGAGTGGTGGTGGGTGCAGGTGAGGAAGCAGTCACTATGTCACCAGCAGGCTGTCACTTAGCACCCTTAGATGCTCAGGGCCAGCTTGGGCCCTGCCAGGACCCCTGGCCCATGGACGTGCCTCTGCCAAGACAGTGGTTTTCACACCTGCTCTAGAGCTAGGATTCTCCCACTTTTTCCCCCTCCACAAGCAAATCTCACATAGAACCCCAATCTATAAAACTGATGAAATGGATCCAGTTCAAGGGAAGATTTGGGTTCAGAATCCCACCTGCTCAGCTTTCCCTTTGGCCTCCTCCTTGCTCCTTAAGGCAACCTCCAAAATAACCTCCACCAAACCCGAAGATTCTGGGAATTAGATTTTGGAAACTGATGGCTAAGAGATGCCTAGACAACAAGGTGATCATTAGTGCTTGGTCTTGGGAAGGACTCAGGGATATAGGCCAGTTGGAGGGCTACATCTGAACACACAGAAGTGTATCCTCACCTTCTCCCCATGTCCTGCCATGATCACCACTTCGCTTGACCTCATCATGCCAAGAAGTGGAAAGGCCCAAAGCATGTGTGGCATCCTGATGTGGCAGAAAGACTGACCCGGGTTGAACTCCACAATTGCCGTTGCTAATTGTCTGATCTCTGGGTCTTAAGCTTCGTGCCAGGCCCAGTAAATGGTGGTCATTATGATGATCTACTCAGATTGACTGTAAATACAATGTCAATAGATCATGAAGAATTGCTATATAAAAATCAGGCCACCTGTTCCCACACATATCAAACAGTGCCTTGTGAAGCAGTGGTTCTTTACAACGTTAAAAAGCTGCTATGTGGCTAGTGGGTATGTCCTGCTCCTCTGGTGTGTTTGGGCCAAAAAAAAAGAATCAATATTACAGAGTTTGTTTGTGCATTTGAACCTTGGAATGATGTATTTATCACCCTCAGAAAAATTTCAGGAAAACACTGACACAATTCACTCTCCTAGTTCCTGTCAGTTGGTTAGGCCTTGCCCGTTAGCTGGGATCACATGGCATGAGTCTTCATGCTGGGCGGGCGGCTGCGGACTTGTTTCTCTTTGAGTCTGGTTATTTGGCAGCATGGGCAAGCAGGGTGTACCCGGGAGGTCAACCATTGTTTGGTTATTTGGAACAGAGCAGCACAGTTCACAGCCCATTGATGTTGGCTTTGTGGGGTGACAATTGGGCTCTATTTCTGCCCCTTTTAATCTGTAACTTTCTCATAATGCAACATGATAAATCAGGGTTTTGTTTTATTCTAAAGATCTGGAACTCTCTATTTGAATTGATGTGACTGTTACATTTTACCCATGCTTCTGTACAGAGCTCAGCCTCTTTGAGGAATGCATTGGTTTTCCCTGTGTCATTCAGAGGCTCCACCATATCTCACACTGAGCATTGTCACCTTCAGGAGGTTCTGGGGGAGCTCAGGAGGGGCATGGTAGCCATAGCCCAAAGACCCCATTAACAGGGAGTCTCCTGTTCCCAGATTTCCTTCATTTCTGGGAGCCTCCCTCTGCTTTTCAGGTCTGCCTCACTAGCAAGGGGTAGATGGGCTGAAAGTGCAAGGAGAAAGATAAGAGATCCATGGGTAATGTAAAAATGAGTCACAGACATAGAAGTCAAGCGATGGAAAAGAGCCCCAGATGCTTCCAGAAGCCTGTCAGTCACAAACCTGCACGAGCTTATCCTGGCCCAGAGTCTGCACTGAGAGGACAGGTCAGCATGGAATCATGCCGCCCCTGTGGCTAGAGGCATAGAGGAGAGGGAAAGACTCAAGGGAAAGGAAGTCTGGGGGTTGGGAAGGCACCTGTGAAGTTGTTACTTCCTTGGATGCAGAGGTGGGAGCTACCAAGAGGAGCCTGGAGCACTGCTACCTCCCTTTTCAGCCCCACCCTCATGACCACCAGTGCCTGGCACATCTCACTATTTGTCTAGCTGGTCAAGAACACACTTCCATAAAGCGTCACGTCTTCCCCAGTTCTCCTGCCTCCAAATGCCAGGAAGAGTTTAGAGCTCGCTTTGCTTTGGCCCTGGCCACGCAGTGGTACTTTTGAAAATAGTTCCAACACAGGCAACTACATCTGTCCACTGCTGTGCCAGCGCCCTTGCTGGTCCAGAGATCTGAAGAGCCATGGAGACCTGTATTCTGATTGTACCTGTGCCCCAGTTTCATTGTTAATAAAGTGAGACTTTGGGCTAGGTAATCTTACTGTTCTAAAAGCCTCTGGTTTCCATTAAGATAGGATGAGGACTGCTATGATTATTTCTACTTTAAGGAAACTGAACCTGAGACAAAAAGGTGGGAAGGGGGATTTGGTTAAGGTAACGAGGGTCAGTAAGCACAGCAAGGAATAGAAATCCAGGCGCTGGGCGTGATTGGGTAGGCCTGCTGCTTACCCACGGGGCCTCTTTACCTTTTGGGTGTGAGTAACTTGACATCTTATTCCATAGCTGTTCAGCCTCCCATGACTGCTGATGCAAATCAGAACAAACTTTGCAGGTCGTCAGGACCAAACAGGCTGAAATCACACAGGGGAAACCTAATGCCTATCTTTAGTCCTGCCCCAAGAATGTGGCTGTGGACTAGTCTAATCTAATGAAGTGAAGATACACATTTCTGTGACATTTGGCCTTAGGTGTGTTCAATTCAATTCAACCTGCTTCCAATTCAACCTGACAAGCATTTAGTTAATGTGTACCGTAACTGAGGCACCATGTTAGGCTCTGTTGAAAATACAAAGAGCAGCCCAAGATTGGGCCTTTCCTGCTCAGAGTTTAGGATCTGCATTGGAGCTGCGCACCAGTGCCTGTAATAAGGTCAGATGGAAGTGTGGCTGTCAAGGGTCGGAGATGCAAATGAAGTACAACTCACAGTACTTGTCTCTCTAGCTTGGAGTTACAACTCCAGTCATATCTCTTATTTTGCAATTTTCAAGTTCAGATAACAGTCACACTGAAACCACTACTTGCACATATTTGCAAGAAGTCAACCTTTCTCCCTCTGTCTCTCTCTCTCACACACACACACACACTGTCTCTCTCACACACTCACACACACACGCACACACACACACACCTCTTCCCCAATTGTCCTGCCTTCAAATGCCAGGAAGCGTGTGGAGCTCCCTTTGCTTTGGCCCTGGCCACACAGGGCACTTTTGAAAATAGTTCCAGCACAGGCAACTATGTCTCTGTCCACTGCTGTGCCCTTGCCCTTGTCGGTCCAGACTTCTGAATAGCCCCAAGATACTGCCCCTTCCTCAGGTTCCCATGAGTGGGGATCTTTCCATTCACACGCATGTGTAGGCATCATTTCCAAAGCATACTTCCTATGGCAGGACAACCTGATTTGGGGGGCTTCTGGCCTCGTCCATATGTGTCACTGAAGCCAGGCTTCCCCTTCAGATTCTGATGAGCCTGGAGGCCAGTTCAGACTCTCTCTTCTCATATGCTGAGTTTCCCTTTGGAAGTCTTTTCGGGCCAGTTTGTCTTGCTTGAAAAAAAGTTAAGCACCTTGCCAAGCACCAAAACTCCAGAAGTTCCATGAGAAGGAACAGGAGTTGTCGTCCTCCACCTTTATTTTTCTTTCATGATTTAGCCAGAGACCTCCGAAATTTCTTTGCACCATTCCTCTCACGAACAAAATCCTCCCTCCTTAGAAAAACAGAGCTTAATGACTTTTAAAAATTTTTTATTTTCATCCAGAGGTCACAGATCTAGAAAACACACATGAGGTAGAGGTTGCATAATCATTTGAAATTGACTGGTAAAATGTAGCAGAAACTAGTCAGCCATTGGCTAAGGGAAGACAAGCCTCACTAACAAAAGAATCTTTTCTCCTTCCAGTGGATTTTTGGGATTCTTTCTCGTGTTCAGTACAGTGAAGCTAAAAAGCCATCTGGCCCCAGTGCAGTGTGCAGCCTGGATTTTCTTTGCTAAGGTAAGAGACGAGAGGGGTGGGAAATTCTCAAGTGCCTTTGTATCCAGAGATCTCAGCGCCTGGGTAATGTGAAGTTGTTTGAGCTTCATGAGACCACTTCTAGGCACTGTCCCTGAGCCTGATCCTTCCTTCATTCAGATAATGATTTCTGAGGCCTACTCATTTTATCAACGTGGCATATTTCATCTTTCTCATAGTCCTGGAAGGCAATCATGGATAGGCACCTTGTTCCCTTCCTGGAGGCTGTGCAGGTGTCCGGAGCTCAAGTGACTTACACAAGGGGACTCAGTTGATCCAAGGTGATAGATAAAGGAAGATAGACGAATGGCCAGGTTGGGGCACTTCTATGAAACCTTAGAAAAGGAACTATTCCAAGAACAACCTCTGTGTATCGAATAACTATGGGCGAAGCATAAGATACAGTGGTGGGGAAACCACAAAGAACCAGAAGGGGCAGGGAAGTGGCTGTGGGATGCCCAGTCATAACTGAAATATGGTGGGGCCAATTATTTTCACAGAATAAAGAACAAAAATACATTATCATTTCAATAGGTTCAGAAAAATCGTGACAAAATCTAGCATCTATTCATTATAAAAACTCTCAAAAAACTGGTAATATAAGAGAACCTGATAAAATCTGTGAAAATCCTATAACTAACGTTATCTTTAACAGGGGAAGACTGAATACTTTCCCCCTAAGATTGGGAGCAACATAAGAATGTTCACTTTCACCATTTCTATTAAAAATTGTAGGCCAGGCGCAGTGGCTCAAGCCTGTAATCCCAGCACTTTGGGAGGCCAAGACAGGTGGATCATGAAGTCAGGAGATTGAGACCATCCTGGCTAACACGGTGAAACCCTGTCTCTACTAAAAAAATGCAAAAAACTAGCCGGGTGAGGTGGTGGGCACCTGTAGTCCCAGCTACTTGGGAGGCTGAGGCAGGAGAATGGCTTAAACCTGGGAGGCGGAGCTTGTAGTGAGCTAAGATCCGGCCACTGCACTCCAGCCTGGGCAACAGAGCGAGACTCCATCTCAAAAAGAAAATTGTAATGGAGTTTTTAGGAATGCAATAAGCAATGCAGTAGGGAAAAAAAAAAAGGCATCCAGATTGGAAAGGAAGAAATAAAACTGTCTTTATTCACAAATGAGACCATCATATATATATAGAAAATCCCAAGGAAACTATAAAAATAGTTGAAGGCAGGGTGTGGTAGCTCATGCCTGTAACCCTCACACTTTCAGAGACTGAAGTGGGAAGATCACTTGAGACCAGCCTGGGCAACATAGTGAGATCCTGTCTTTACAAAAATAAGAAAAGTAGCCTGCCATGGGGGCATGTGCCTATAGTCCCAGCTACTCAAGAGGCTGAGGCAGGAGGATCACTAGAGCTCGGGAGTTTGAGGATGCAGTGAGCTATTGTCACTACTGCACTGCAGCCCGAGTGACAGAGCAAGACCTTATCTCTTAAATAAATAAATAAATAAAACTATAGTTTTACTTAAAAAATATTTTTTTGTAGAGACAGGATCTTATGTTGCCCAAGCTAGTTTCAAACCCCTGGCCTCAAACAATCCTCCCATCTCAGCCTCCCAAAGTGCTGGGATTACAGGTATGAGCCAGTGCACCCAGCTCAAAGTTTCATATATTAGTAATGAAAAGTCATGTTTATAAAAATAAAATTAAGAAAACAATTACATTCACAATAGCATCAAAAAGGAAAAAATAGGAACTTAACAACAAAGAAGTATCAGATTTATACACTGAAAACTATAAAACCTTTTTGAGAGGAATTAAAGAAAATCTCGGGCTGGGCATGATGGCTTAAGCCTGTAATCCCAGCACTTTGGGAGGCCGAGACGGATGCATCACGAGTTCAGGAGATCGAGACCATCCTGGCTAACACGGTGAAACCCCATCTCTACTAAAAAATTACAAAAAACTAGCCAGGCGAGGTGGTGGGTGTCTGTAGTCCCAGCTACTCGGGAGGCTGAGGCAGGAGAATGGAGTAAACCCGGGAGGTGGAGCTTGCAGTGAGCTGAGATCCGGCCACTGCAGTTCAGCCTGGGCGACAGAGCGAGACTCCGTCTCAAAAAAAAAAAAAAAAAAAATCAAAAAATCAAGAGATACAATATTGTTAAGATGGAAATTTTTCCTAAATTGATTTAATGTAATCCCTATCAAAATCCCAGCAGGCTTTTTTTTTTTTTTGGTAGAAATTCACAAATTTATCTAAAATTTATTTGGAAATGCAATAGCCAAAACAATGTTGACAAAGATAAAGTTGGGGGACTTAAATTGTATGATTTGAAAATTCAGTACTAAGCTAGAATAATCAAGGCATTATGGTATTGGTGTAGGGATAGGCATTTATGGTCAATTGATTTTCAACAAAAGTGCCAATCACAATGAGAAAAGGATTGTTTTTTCTTTTTCTTTTTTTTTTTTTGTTTTTTGAGCTGGAGTCTCACTCTGTCGCCCAGGCTGGAGTACAGTGGCGTGATCTTGGCTCACTGTAACTTCCACCTCCCGAGTTCAAGCGATGCTCCTGCCTCAGCCTCCTGAGTAGCTGGGATTACAGGCACACACCACCATGACCAGCTAATTTTTGTATTTTTAGTAGAGATGGGGTTTCACCATGTTGGTCAGGCTGGTCTTGAACTCCTGACCTGGTGATCCGCCCGCCTCGGCCTCCCAAAGTGCTGGGATTACAGGCGTGAGCCACCGCACCTGGCCAGGATTGTTTTTTCAACAAACGGTGTTGGAGCAATCAGATATCCACATATAAACCAACCCACAAATAAACAATCTTAGATCCTTGCTTGACATCATTAACTCAGAATGAATCACAGACATAAATGTAATACCAAAGCTGGAAAACTATTAGAAGAAAACACAACAAAAAGCCTTAATGGCCTTGGGTTTGGCAGATTCTTAGATATGACACCAAAAGCATAAATCATAAAATAATTGATAAATTGTAGTTTAGTTTATTTAAATTAAAACCTTTTACAATTCAAAAACACTATTAAGAAAATGAAAAGGTAGGCTGGGTGCAGTGGCTCATGCCTATAATCCCAGCACTTTGGGAGGCCAAGGCAGGCAGATCATGAGGTCAGGAGATTGAGACCATCCAGGCTAACACAGTGAAACCCCGTCTCTACTAAAAATACAAAAAAATTAGCTGGGCATGGTGGTGGGCGCCTGTAGTCCCAGCTACTCGGGAGGCTGAGGCAGGAGAATGGTGTGAACCTGGGAGGTGGAGCTTGCAGTGAGCCAAGATCATGGCACTGAACTCCAGCCTGGGCAACAGAGTGAGACTCCATCTCAAAAAAAAAAAAGAAAAGAAAAGAAAAAGGTAAGCCACAGCCTAGGAGAAAATATCTGCAAATCATAATGTCTGATAAAGGAACTGTATCCAGAATATATGAAGATTTCTTATACCTCAATGAGATGACCTACAACCCAATTTAAAACTGGTCTAAAGGGAAGCAGTTTGGTGATTTCTCAAAAAACTTTAAACAGAATTACCATTCAAACCAGCAATCCTATTACTGGGTATATACCCAAAGGAATGTAAATTGTTCTACCATAAAGACACATGCACCTGTATGTTCATCACAATGCTAGTCACAATAGCAGAGACATGGAATCAGTCTAAACGCCCATCAATGGTAGACTGGATAAGGAAAATGTGGCACATATACACGGTGGGATACTATGCAGCCATAAAAAAGAAAGAGATTGGCCGAGCGTGGTGGCTCACACCTGTAATCCCAACACCTTGGGAGGCCGAGGCAGGTGGATCACCTGAGGTCAGGAGTCTGAGACCAGCCTGACCAACATGGTGAAACCCTGTCTCTACTAAAAATACAAAAATTAGCCGGGCATTGTGGTGCACACCTGTAATCCCAGCTACTCAGGAGGCTGAGGCAGGAGAATTGCTTGAACCTGGGAGGTGGAGGTTGCAGTGAGCCGAGATAGCGCCACTGCACTCCAGTCTGGGCAACAAGAGCAAAACTGCATCTCAAAAAAAAAAAAAAAGAATGAGATCATGTCCTCTGTAGCAGCATGGATGGAGCTGGAGGCCATTATCCCAAGTGAATCCACGTAGGAACAGAATACCAAAGAAGGGGGAATTAAACTTATAAGGGGGAATTAAACATTGAGAACACATAGACACAAAGAAGTAACAACTGACACCAGAGCCTACTTTAGGGTAAGGGATGGGAGGACAGAGAGGACTGAAAAACTACCCATTGGGTACTATGCTTATTACCTGGGTGATGAAATAATCTGTATATCAAACCCCTGTGACATGCAATTTACCTATATAACAAACCTGGGCATGTACCCCTGAACCTAAAATAAAAGTTAAAAAAAAAAATACAAGTTAAAAATAAATAAATAGGCCGGGCACGGTAGCTCAGACCTGTGATCCTAGCAGTTTGGGAGTCAGAGGCGGGCGGATCACCTGAGGTCGGGAGTTTGAGACCAGCCTGATCAACATGGAGAAACCCCGTCTCTACTAAAAATACAAAATTAACTGGGTGTGGTGGTGCATGCCTGTAATCCCAGCTACTCGGGAGGATGAGGCAGGAGAATCACTTGAACCCGGGAGGTGGAGGTTGCAGTGAGCCGAGATTGCGCCATTGCACTCTAGCCTGGGCAACAAGAGCGAAACTCTGTCTGAAAATACTACTACTACTAATAAATAAATAAATAAAAATAATTAAAATGATAACGTTGAAGCCAGACATAGTGGCTCATGCCTGTAATCCCAGCACTCTGGGAGGCCAAGGCAGGTGGATCACCTGAGATCAGGAGTTCAAGACCAGATTGGTCAACATAGTGAAACCCTGTCTATAGTAAACATACGAAAACTATCTGGGCATGGTGGCGCACGCCTGTAGTTCCAGCTACTTGGGAGGCCAAGGTAGGAGAATCGCTTGAACCCAGGATGCAGAGGTTGCATTGAGCCGAGATGGTGCTGCTGCGCTCC